TCATTTTCTTCATATTCTGTTGTCAACTTTATATTCGGATGAGCGTTAGTCAGACTTTAGAATAAGCCTAACGCCTCCGCATTTGAGTCTGCTATGAGCAACACGTCGTCCACGTATCGTCTATACAGGCTTGCCGTAAGTATATCTGCCAGCATGGGAACAAGAGGACTTTCCATGACTTGTCAGAAGTGTTCTGAAAATTGAATCAAATGTTCTCTGTGTGCATCGGAATTATCCTTGTCAATTCTATTAAGGGGATTGGAAGTCTTATGTTCTTCTGTTGTGCGAACTGACATAGTTCTCACCGCTTCTTTCAGAGGCACGTTGGTAAACAATGACGCCACATCCATGCTAGCCATGTGATTCATATCTTTCGGGATTTTGGGTTCTACCATTTAGAAGCTATCCGTCAGACTGTGAAATGATGGAACCCTATCTGTGCAAGCAGATTGAGTTATTTGTAACTTTAGCCCTGCGTTGGTAGAAAGATGGACGAAGTTAATACTACCAGTATATTCTCGCTCGTTTGGAAAACGGGGTCGCATTGGTGGCTGTACTCAGTAGCGATCGAATAGAATGGAAAGCTTCCGGAAGAACGGATTCCCACTGAATACACGGCAGACCCTTCGATTGCGCTGCGAGAACGATAGTTTTCCAAAGGGTCCCGTTTAGTCTCTCAACTTGTCCGTTAGAGCGGGGGTTGTAGGCTGTCGTTCTGCTGGAGACAATGCCGTTGTTGTGAAGGAAATTCTTAAACTCCTCGGACATGAAGGACAAACCCCTATCAGAATGTATGTAGGAAAACATACCAAAATTCGAGAATAAATTGGAGACACCGAATGACTATAGCAGCTGATAGGTCAGAGCAGGCATAAACGAACGGGAATCGAGAGTACTCGTCCAAGATCGTAAGCAAGTATCGGTTTCGAGATTCTGACGGAAGCGGACCTTAAAAATCAATGTTCAGCCTCTCAAACGGCGCAGTGACTTTGATTAAATTTCCCGTAGGAAATTTACAGAACTGTGGTTTCCACTTAGCACAGATTGAGAAGCCGCTGATGACCGATTAAACTTCATTGACAGAGTAAGGGAGATTTTCAGTTCGAACACAATGGAGCATTCGCACGATTCCCGGGTGACAGTGAGTGATGTAGCTACTTGTGTTGTTCAAGTGATGTGGACACTGAGCAGCAGCTACGAGACCGTGCGTCAGCCGCCAGGTTTTCGTGTCCAGGGCAATAAATCACATCGAAGCTGTAGCATGATAGTTCGATTCTCCATCTCTGAAGTTTATCACTTTTAATTTTACCTTGGTGTCTCGAATCGAACATAAAGGTAACCGATTTTTGGTCTGTGATCAGTCTGAAGTGCGTGCCAAGCAAATATTGTCTCCACTTCCGGATAGCTTCGACGATGGCGTTGGCCTCTTTCTCTACAAAGGAATGATGCCGTTCACTTGAAGATAGCGTTCTGGAAAAGAAGCCAACCGGCTTATGGTTTTGCGAGAGTATGGCCGAAATAGCTACGTCTGAGGCGTCTGTTTCCACAACCAGTAGTATCTTTGGGTCGATGGTGGTGACGACTGCGTGTTCTAGTTCACTTTTGAGCGTCTCGAAGGATATTCTGACGTCCTCTGGTAGGGGAAATGTGTTAATTATGTACCAAGGGATATATCTTGTCTGAGAATCGAGGAATTCAGTGGGAGTAATATGAAAATAAACCGATTGCCCGGCGTTGCGATTTGAGGTCTTTGGGAGGTGGAAGTTCTCGGAGTGGCTTCAATCGTTCAGGGCGGACCTTGAACGGTTTTATCAAACCGTGTGAGACTTCGTAACCCAGGAGTTTTACTTCTTTGGTATCAATGATACACTGTTCTTCGTTTAGACTAAGCCCATATTTTCTAACAGCCTTGAAAAAACTCGTTAGATTTTTGTCGTGATCTTCTTTCTTCATTCCGCACACTGTAATGTTGTCAATGTAGGCGAAGGTGTCCAACAGATTTTCCTCCTGAATGAGTTTATCGATCGCCTGCTGGAAGCAAGTGACACCATTAGTCACCCCAAAAGGTATTCGACAGAATTGGTACAGCTTAACGCATGCTTCAAAGGCAGTGAATGGTCGATCTTTTGCTTCTCTAGCGATTTGGTGGCATGTACTTCGTAAATCTAGGGCACTGAGGACAGCGTATCGTGATATTTTAGACACCATTTCGTCTATTCGCGGCATTGGGTAAGCGTCCAACAGCGTGTAGCTATTGATAGTTTGACTATAGTCGACTACAATGCGTCTCTTGTGTCGTTCATTTGTCGTAACAAAAACTTGTGATCTCCAGGGTTAAGTTGAAGTCTCAATGATGCCCTCCTTAAGAAGATGACGAAATTCTGATCGAATAAATTTCTCGTTATCAGGAGTGTGGCGGCGTGATTTGGTTGCAATGGGTTTACAATCCGGCAGCAAATTCCCAAAGAGAGATGGTGGTTCGATGCGTGAAGCAGTTACGTTACAAAGAGAAAGAAATGGTTTGTTACCCCTGAACGGGATTTCAACTGCTTTGTGGAGTTTCTAATCATGTCCTTACAAAAATGTGGAAGGATCGAGAGTTTGAAATTATCCTATGAATTGTTCTTGAGGTGTATGATGACTAGGCAGTGACCTTTCGTGTGACTAACCAATCGTGGATGCCATCAAGATTGTGCTAGATGACTGCATAACCTTCAGATGGTGTCGTTTCACGAAAGATTCAGAAACAGCTTCCGGTGTCTATTAGAGTTTCAACGGGGATCTTGTTCACGGTGATTTTTACCAGTGCGTTAAAGAGACAATCCTGAGCAGACGCCGAGACTGTGGTTGAGAGTGCAAGCATAATAGCCGAGGTTGACCGTTTCTCCGGGAGCGATCTGCAGACCCGTTTGAAATGTCCTTTCTTCCTACAATTACTGCAAACTGCGTCCTTAGCTGGACATCTGAAACGAGGGTCTGTCGTTCCCGCGAAAATAGCATTTGGTTTTGACCGCGGCTGACGTTTGCACATGTGAGTTGTTACTTTCCTTGAGATCGCGCGTGGGGCTTTCTATTGGTTCAAATGAACCTGAGGCTGCTGCTGTATACGACATTGGCGGTGTCTGAAAAGCATTAGACTGTTGTGCCATTTCAAGTGATCGAGCTAATTCTAGGGCGGTCGGTAGGTCTAGACATCTGTTTTGAAGAAGACGCTGTCTCATTGCCTGACTGCATTCCGCTTACAAAGGCGTGTCGTATGGCGTCATCCTGATTTTGTTCAGCCGTTACGGCCTTAAATTTGCAGTCTGGCTAAAGATTTGAGTTTCTGAAAGAATTGATCAAATTTTGCCCCGGTTCCTGTTTACAGGTGGCCTGTAGATACCGGGCGAACACCTCATTTGGTGGTTTGATAAACAGCTTTTCCAGGGTTTTCACAGCATCACTGTACGATTTGCAATCCGCAACATAGTCATAGATACTTGGAGAAATGTAGTTGTAGAGAAAATCCAATTTTTCCGGATCTTCAACCCCAATTTTAGTAAGAAATCTGTCGAAGGTGCAAAAACCAGTGCCGCCATATTTTCGAGGAATTAGGAGTATTCGGGTCCGTATCGAATCTTTCGGGTCGGAGGTAGCGTTCCATTTTGAGATAATTTGTATGTTGAATAAATTAATGTGAGACAATCGTAATAGCCGTTGAAGAAGGAGAAGACAAAGACCCGATATATAGGCTTCATTCGACATACAAATGGNTTTGCAATCCGCAACATAGTCATAGATACCTGGAGAAATGTAGTTGTAGAGAAAATCCAATTTTTCCGGATCCTCAACCGCAATTTTAGTAAGAAATCTGTCGAAGGTGCAAAACCAGTGCCGCCATATTTTCGAGGAATTAGGAATGTTCGGGTCTGTATGGAATCTTTCGGGTCGGAGGAAGCGTTCTGTTTTCAGATAATTTGTATGTTGAGTAAATTGATGTGAGAGACGATTGTAACAGCCGCCGAAAAGGGGAGAAGACAAAGGCCCGATATCTAGACTTTATTCAACATACACATGGACTACAGGGGCTGAAAAGGAATGAGGGGAAAATTTAGATGGACGAATACAAAGTGATGTGAAACGACGAACAAGGGTGTAACATAGCATTCGTTATATTTTTTGACTGTAGTATGTACCTGAAGAGATAGGGCGAAATTTTTCCGGAAGTAAATTATGCAACGCTGTGCTGCTGTATTATTTACTCAAATGGGATCAGTAACCGATCGCGTGTGATGGATGCATNTCGGGGTTAGAGTAATTAGGCATTCATCGTAGTCATAATTCAATCAACATAGCACGCAGTTAGTGGGCTTTAAGTAATGCAGCCCAAACACAATCGCAAGATGAAAGTCAAGTCAAGAAAAGCTTTATGAACTCAAAGGGTGAATTTTCAGTAGTTTACAATTTTTACAGTGGATAGCTAAAAGGAATTGCAAACAGGAAAGGTAATATAAGAAATTTTACACTTTAGTAAATGGGAGAAAGATTAGTGCAAGAGTTTTTCCCTGAGGTAGGTGAGAATATTCTGGTGATTAACCAGTAACCGAGCAAGGTATGGACTTACACTGTTTCTATATGTGGAAGTCCGCCCAGAAAGGAGTTGATATTTAGAGCGATATCTTGGTGCAGACAGTGCCCCTTGATCACGCGTTATCCTGTCAATGAATGTATCAAAAGCGTCAAGATGCTTGGAAATAAATAAATCAACTAAAACAACTCTATCAACTCCACTGTAGCGGGATAAGAGTTTAAAGGATCTCGACAATAAAGTCTTTTTCTTTCAGTACGGGGATAAAAATAGGGGAGCAGCATAGCCAGTGTGGAAGAATGCAGGCAATCACAAATTTAAAAATAAGATTGTGGTACGGCCAGTTTCCTGAGCCTGTAAGCATCAAAAGATAGTTTTTGAACTTTTGTGAAAACGTTGATGACATGGTTTAGTATATGCTCTCCCAGTCTGTGGATGGACTCATCGGATTACTGAAAAGCTGCATAGAACTGCAGAATTAATGATAGGAAAACTTTCTTTTATCCCTTTCTTCTCTAATTTGTTCCAATTCTTTTATTTGATTTTCAAGTTTTCGATACGGTCATTTGTGCTTCTTTTAAATGGGATCATTGCACCATTTTGTTTACCCCAATATCTGAAGTATCAGTGTGAACAATGAAGCTTGCACAATCTGATTGTATCTTCACTGTATTACAAAACACCTGTTTTTTTTCAAGTAATTGCAGCTTCATTCGTCTGGAATCATTTGTATTCAAAAGAATACCCGCAGTAACCCCATACCCCCTACCTGTTTTATTTCTGTTTCTCTCCCTGTTAATCTTCTCAGGACATGAGTATCGCATGTACAACACAATCGATGTGCACTGCTATGCCTCTTGGGCCCTGATCAAATTGTGGCCGAAGATCGAGCTGGCTATCAACTACGACTGCGCTGATCTGACCGTCGCCGAGGATCGTTCGATGACCTATTTTATTCATCAGGGACAGTCTGGGGTACGCAGTGCACGTTGCGCGGTCCCGCACGATTTTGGAGATCCGGAGAACGATCCGTGGCGTCATCCGAATGCCTACATCATGTACCAGACAGATCACTGGAAGGATTTGAATACCAAATTCATCATAGAATCGTGGCGAGACTGGAAGCTCACGCGGGATTATCAGTATTTGCTCTATCTGATTCCTATCGTCTGTGTAAGTTCGTCAACTGACTTCATCTTCGACACTTTCGCAACTTTTTTGTTTTCTTTATGCAGTTGGGAGTATTGCCAGATACAGTTTTTTTGTATTGACCAATTCATTAGACCCCTTTTACTGCAACTGTTTGCTCTAATTAATGCGTTTCCAATCGCTCAGTTCACACTCAGTTCACTCAGTTTCACACTTTTACCACATCGGTAGGGTTGATATCCTATAAGATCACTTTTCTCATGTGTTCCATAAAAGCACTACTCGTTTTAGTATCAAAGCAATGATCCACCAAGTGATCTGTTGTTTATCAAAATATATGGCGAACAAAGAAGCTTGCTTCATTTCTACCCATCGTTGCCTTTTCTTGCTGATTGATTAAGGGACACTGGATTGTAGCACTGAGAGAGCATTGGGTGTTCTTGGCGTTGTGGTTTAGTCGCTGTCACCGGCGTGCTTTGGGCCTTATTGTCCGAGGATCGAGCCCCACCACCATCACCCATCTTTGGTGGTAGGCAGGTTAGATGTCGTCCGGTTCAATACCACGCCCAACCTAGGTATTATGTGGTTCGCCAATCTAAGTCCCACGGGGCTTAGGTTGCCACGTTTCCATCACTGAACAGCAGGCCCTCGTGACCATGGGGCTTTTCCCGTCTGTTGTTCATCACACGAAAATGTGTAATGAAAAATTAAATGCTGTATCATCCAGCACAGTTTTGTGGTAAGGATTTCTCCTCAAAACAAATTAACTGCTTAGTTTGCATTGTTTTTTAATCGATCGGTAATTTGAAGACAGTCTTGCAGTAGTACAAATGGGCCATAAACTGTTCGTGAGTTGATGATACTGGAAAATCCCTATGTCATTTTCCAACAACAAAATTAGATTGCTTGTTTTTTGGCTAACCGACCTCGGAACTCATTTGCACGCACTGTCCTTAACTGTTCCACTCCGCTACACAACTGCGAAGCACCATGCTAGAGTTTCTCCCTCATTAGAGCTCATCCGGATTACGCATTCAGCAGCCCGCCAAGGATCTGAACCTCTATGAAATCGTGTTTGTGTGCATTATGTCAACCACCTGGTCCTGGGGCTGACGGATAATTGCTCAGTTTCCATGTTCAATGATCTTTGTCCAGGTAACAACGAAAAAAGACGCAGCATACCTTTGGTTAACTACAATCAAAATTGTCCCTTACCGAACCAGGTCTTCCGTACAGATCTTTAGTTGTATCTACGGGGTTAGCTTCACAATGTTGCCCATTAGTCCACCTGGATTGATGAATGAACTTTACTGGTTAACAAACGTGCCATGTATTTCTAGAAGTCCCGTATCATACGGCCCCTTGTTAGTGGTTGACACCTGCACCCCGTGAAGAGTGGTCATGGGCATCAGGCAGAGTTGCTGTTTGTCGTTTTGCTGCATAGGTTCTGAAGTTTCCGGTCACGGGTTATCTTGAAACTGTGAAAGATGTTGCATTGAACCGTCAAGACTGGCCACGTTGTGCTCATTTACGAGCAGGTTAGATCAACACGACTTAGCGATACTTATAGTGAGACTGTACTCTCTTTGTGTATTAACTATGTTGATGCCCAAGGATTTCACTCTGTCCTACAGCTTATTCTCTCGCCACATTGCGTTTTAATTCTGACATTTAAAAATTAATTTTGGCTGCATGCATTCAACTTCTCTTCGTAGTTTATTGCTTTTAGCTGTGTTGGAATAATATAAGTGATTTATATTTGCCCGATAGAACATGTGAACACGAATCCCACTAATAGGACACTATGGATTAGAACGCATTCTCTGTAGCTATTGAAAGCATCTGATGCACCCGACCATGGAGCCATATGAAAATCAATCGCTAGATTCTTCTTGGATGCTAAAGCCGCTTTGTCCCCCTCCCCGGTCGTGTTCACAACCCTAAAATATGTGTGTTAACACACACACATACACACACAAAAATTCTATTCTTTATCATCTGGCTTATTTTGTAGCATTCTGTACCAGTTATTTGCGTAATTGAATAAGTACTTACGCAATCGACCGTCAGTTACATGTGCAATGATTTTTTCACCTTTACATATCTCATTTTGCGTTACCTTTTGTATGCAACTCAATTTTATCACATCTTGTGTTACAGTCATGCGTGTGTGTGATCGTGCCTTGAGTGGTTCATATAGACCTTCATGCATGGAGAGCCTNGTTATGACAGCCTAAGTCAAGCTAAATCAGCATCAATTTTACCACCTTCAATGGTTGCTGATGTAATGTGGCGCACATCAAACGGGTACGTGAAACATGATCAATGTACCTTTTCGTATGAAGTTAGACGCGAAGCCCCTGTTGGACGACAACACGCCTCAACAACAGTCCCATTACTGTCGTTGCCACCGCAAAATATTCACTGACAATTGTTTGTTATTAGGTCATTTTATTTATAGTGAAATGGTGTCTCTCCAATATTGGTTTTGATTGCATGAAAACTTGAGATGAAGGCAAAATATGTTCTAGTGAACTCATTCGTCTTGTCCCTTTTGATCCAATTCCCTAGGTCTGCTGGTTTTGTATCTCAATCATGCTGTATAGTCGCTTATCCTTATTATCGTTGTTTTGATTATCGCTTTGTTAGACATTTCCGCTACGTTTTCAATGTTGTATGATATTTATTTATCAATACGTTTCAAATCTATTGATTTAACACTTTTCCGAAAGGGGTACATGTTCATTCAAAGGTTATGTTCATGTGAAATCCACCAGTTTCCTGGCTGATGTGTTTCTAAACAACACCATTGCTAGTATCATTTGGTTTGCATAATTAATCCGTATTTCACAACTCCTAGATNCCTAGATGATTGATCCACAGGAAATGACTAGTGCACTATTTTACTGAATAACCCCAGTCATTGTTGTTTAGGCTCCACACACGATTGCGTTTCGTCAATCTCTGAGTCCAGACCAATTTAAAAAGCCAAAATACTGCTTTAATTTGCTTCACATTGTCTGTATTCTCTCCCCATGAGTTCCTTCATCTTTTGGCTGTTCGGTTGTTACCTTCGAGAATCTTTTTCACGGTACATGTGGCAGTATGTTTCAGAAAACGGTTACCATTCCGATGCCAAAAAGGCAGATTCACTGACAAGCGTTTATTTGTCCCCGTCTGGTTAGGAATGCTTCACCGAGATTCCACCCTCGTCTTATTGTTGCTCCAACCACATCCAATCTCGTTAGGATTTTACTAGATTGGCCTCAACAGCAAAAACGGCAGATTCCGGCACAAGATCAAATNTCAAATCAAAAATGATGGATCTCATCGACCTCGGTTGCCTTGATGAACGCTCGGAAAGCCATTCCTTCGGATTCGAAATACGACGAAGCGCGCAAATCCCTTAAACGCCAACTCAACAAGAGTCTGTGGAATGACCACGAGAAGTAATGGGTGGGAAGATGCAGAAGACTGCGGCTATCGGTAATAGTCGCAATCTTTTTCGTTTAATTAGGAGTACAAGACCAAGGAAAGCAGGCGTAAGTGAGGTAATTAAGGAATCTGACTGCACACTGATTCAAATTCAGGAACGTCGTCTTGAACGTTGGGCAGAACAATTTAAGTCTCAGTTCAGCTGGCCCTCGGCAGCACAAGACCTCCTTATACCCCATTCAACAGTGCAAATACTGCCAGTTGACATCAGTCCTCCATCTGAAACGGAGGTTACCGGAGCAGTAAGCTATCTCAAAAAGTATAAGGCTTCCGACCCCGACGGGCTGTCTCCATCAGTTTTTAAGCATAGAGGTTCAGCCTTGGTTTTGGAGTTAACAAAACTCCTGGGCTCAGTGTGGGAAAAGGAAGAGGTTCCAACTGAATGATGTGAATCGGTGATCATACCGATTTACATGAAATGCGACCGGTCATCTTGTGAAAACCATAAAGGAACTAGTTTAATCAATATTGTTTCTAAACTTCTCGCCGGTATCGTACTCCGTCGAGTGTCTGTCGCAAGTGAGGAGTGCACACATGAGAACTAGGCCGCTTTTACACCTGGCCGAGATTGTTTCGACCACATCTTCACTCTTCGTCAAATTCTATATAGAAGATAGACACTCCTTTCGTAGACCCACCATCTCTGTCTTCCTCGACCTAAAGCGACTGTCGACCCCTCTAAACTCTGGCGCTACCTTTCCCTGAAGGGTATGTCCGATAATTTTATTCCATCATTACGATCCCTTTATACTAATAGCCGTAGCAGAGTCCGAGCTTGCGACAATTTTTCTCCCGAGTTCACCACGGAAAGTGGTGTTCGTTAGGGTTACCTTCTCTCTCCATTCCTGTTTAACTTTGTCATAGATTTAATTCTTGAAACAGCCTTATCGTCGTGCAGGGATAGCGGTATCGATTTACTTCCGGGTAGCAGACTGTCTGATCTAGAGTATGCAGACGACATTGTGCTACTAAGTGACGATCCAGGTAAGTTGCGAGCTTTTCTGGATAGTTTGAGTGCTAGTGTAGCCATGTTCGGTATGCGTTTTGCACCTTCAAAGTGTGAAATGTTGCTATGAATGTAGAGAATGTAGACAAATTTTGCTATCTAGGCAGCTATATCTAACCCGGCGGACGCATCGCAGATGAAGTGTCGGCGCGCATACAAAGGGCTCGGTTTGCATTTTCCAACTTGAGACATGTGGCGCCGTCGCGACATCTGGCTGTCTGTGAAGGGTCGAGTATATGTTGCAGCAGTTCGGTCAGTCCTGCTCTATGGTGCTCAGACTTGGCAACTAAGGGAACAGGATAAAAATAGATTGTCAGTGTTCGAACACCGCTGTCTACGTAGCATTGCACGTGTCTGGTGGGGTAACCGGACTAGCAATGCTGAGGTTGGGCGCAGAGTTGTAGATAACTACGGTCGTCCACTGGAGGAGGTAGTCGATCTTCATAGATTACGCTGGTTGGGCCATGTGTTGCGCATGTCACCAGATAGTTTGCCGAGGCAGGTGACGGTTGGAAAAAGATCATGGACGGTTAAACGGACCTGGCACGAGGGTATGAAAGCCCTAACCAGGAGACTGGCTCACATAGGTCCCGTTAGGCTCCCTGGCTGGAGACCCCGTGATCATGGTCACCGATGGTTAACTACACTGAGTGATATGGCTGGGTGTCGCAAACAGTGGTGCTCATGCATCTACGTATCATTCTTATAACATCAGTCTATATGAAATCGC